CATTATATTGATGTATCACAACTTGGAAGATTCAATACCATGCAGAATAGAGCCTGAACTTAGAACTGGAAAGTAACGTTTGCAATTATAAAGACCTACATTCTCATTTCTCTAAATAGCTATGAAATTCTTCCATGTTCCAAATCCCCCTGGAAGTGTGTGAGTGTAAGAAGGAAATAAGTGCCCAGCCTTAATAATTAAAAATACCACTGCAACATTTATCTTTAAAGAGAGCTCTGCAGGCTGGAAAAAGAAAGATTTCAATCTGCTTCTAAGTAAAATAATCTTTAATTTTAAAAAGTACTCCCAAAATTATTTCATTAAAAATCCAAAGGATACATTCTTTCTTTTAGAATAATTCCACTCTTCTGCAAAATGTCCTGAGCATTTTGATTCTTTCATTCTTCTTCATATTTTATTTCTTTGTGACTTTTCTCTTCTCCTAACATACAAACTAAGGGCAAGCACGTTCCCATAAATGTTTATATCCTCCCAAAGTGACTAATACAGTGTCATACATTCAGTACAATCAATGAAATCTTATTTCATTGATTGCCATTGGATTAATAAACCTTAGTAAGATTTTCTAACAAGGATAATTTTTAAATAATAGGATTTAAAAGGAATAAGTAAAGAAATCATAGATTTTATACTGTCTTTCTGTAATAATGGCTAAAAGTCACCTTAAATTTACTAAATATCTGTAAACTGATTATAAAACAAAACACTTCAAGATGGTGTAGCAAAGACTAGCCTTGTCTTATATTCTCAGGGCAACCCATCCCTCAGAAGTTTTTGGAAACCAAGTGAATTAAACTTCCACCTCTACTACTCTGGATAATGTCAAAGCCTAGCTAAGCAGCACTACCTGTTGACATTCGCCTTGGTGCCTGAGTGTAATCCAAAGTATCTACAGACATTTGGCAACTTACTTTTAGAATCACATAAATTTAGGCTGGGCGCGGTGGCTCACGCCTGTAATCCCAGCACTTTGGGAGGCCAAGATGGGCAGATCGCGAGGTCAGGAGATCAAGACCATCCTGGCTAACACCGTGAAACCCCGTCTCTACTAAAAATACAAAAAATTAGCCGGGCGTGGTGCCGGGCGCCTGTAGTCCCAGCTACTAGGGAGGCTGAGGCAGGAGAATTGCGTGAACCCTGGGGGCGGAGCTTGCAGTGAGTGGAGATCACGCCACTGCACTCCAGCCTGGGTGACAGAGTGAGACTCCGTCTCAAAAAAAAAAAAAAAAAAAAAGAATCACATAAATTTAGAATTATAAAAGTTCACTAAATTTATCTAGCCCATATTCTTCATTTTCACATGAGGTACTAAAGTCCTCAGATGCTCTATCATTTGCTCAAGGGCACTCAACTCAATGAGTATGTGGATGTAAGCTATCAGGTCTCCTTAACTTCAAGCCCAGTTCTTGTAACTCTACAGAATCTTCTTTATCCAACTGTCGGAGAATTTCTATGGCCCAGAAGTACTTGGGAACAATTTTTAATCATTATATCCGTCTAAAATGAGGAGGAAAAATTCATTAATTCAGAAACTCAAGAAAAACCAGGACTTCTGGATACTTTCTGTTTGGAAATCATGTGAAATGCTAGTGTTATGTATATAATCCTTTATTCTACTCATATTTTTTGAGTGATATAAGAATATTGACCTCAGACTCGTCCTGAAACTGAAGTAATGAGTGAAGAACTCTTGTTCAAAATACCCTATCCAGAGTTCCAAAGGTTTCTTTTCAAAGAAATGTCCTGTTTCTAAGAGTCATTGCAGTCTTCCAGGGATGGGAGCATAGGGGTTGGGGATGAAGCTAGGTATTGGATGCTGAGGCTGTTAAGGTTAATGATGTCAGGTCAAATAATTGCCATATATTTTTTCCTCATTACCTCACTGGCTTCCTCTTTTATGGCAGTAAGATATACAGTACAAACACTTAAATACATACAGAACAGGGAGATATTTTAAAATGAAAGGACTTCAAGATCATTCCTCTAGGGATGGTACAGAATCTGTCTGCCTATGAGGTAGAGGGAGTAGCCTCTCCTAAATTTTGAGATCAAAATTAGCAAGAATAGGAGCCAAACTTGGGCTAGGCTAGGAATTTAGGACTTAGCTTCTCTTATGGATGTAATTATGTTATTCCTGTAAAGCTGCAGACATAGGAAAGATGACTTCAAATAAAACATATAGACAGCACAAAAGCCCACATGTTTAACTGCACAATCAGGTTGAAACTGCAGCCATAAAAAATTGGTCTGTAGAATCCTAATCCATTAAAACAAAACAAAAAATTTAGAGGACATGTCAAGCAGATGAGAGATTAAGAAACTGAGGGCCTTGACAGTTAAGAGACCTTCCAAAGGTCACACAATTGTCAGAGACAAATCAGTCAGGCCTCTGCATATATTTTATATTATCAACTGCCTGCTTTGTACTGTTTTGAAGCAGAAGTCCAACCCCCAAATTTAGGAGTCGAAATGTAAACTGCTTTAATCTATGAAGAGGAGAATTTTGAGATATGTCAAGGTCAAAGAGAGACTATAGGAAAAGATATTACATATTTTCCTTTTGTCATTATTCAATGAGCTGTCCATTCCTCCATGGCCACTGCTTTTGGCTAGATATAAGCTGTGGAAAACTTTCTCCTGGATTCATCTATTCCCTGGAAAGAAAACTCAATCTGGCTTAAGAGAAAAAATTCCTCTCCATGTAATGATAAATTGTCTAAATTGAAAGCTCACACCATAATCAAAGTTGAACAGTACAGACATCCTACAAAATTAAATTTTCATCTAGTGAATCTGGATGTTTTGAGGAAAAAATACCTGTGTTTTTAATGCCTACTCCCAGGTAACTAAAACACCATCATAACGGTATTTTTTCTTCATTTCTATAAGCTCTGTTTTTAGTGGGATGCTTAATGTTCTTTGAATGTAATCACCAATAATACTATTTTTATAAGAAAAAAAATGCCTGCACATGTTGATATATAATGATTCATGCAGTTTTGCTGAAACTAAATATAAATTTAACACATTTTTTAACGTGTCAAGAAGTTTAACCTCACAAAATGTACAGTGTACATTCATAGTTTTCTTTTGTACTGTACTGAAACTAAATTTCATACTTTCATACAATCTATACAATCTGATTCTCTGTGTGTTTCAACTTTACCCAAATATTATCTCTATAATAGTGTCACTAAACTGTTTAAGATGTAGTTGATTTAAACTACTAGTCACAAACCTCAAGAATCAGTTTTTTTAATAAACAATACATTCATTTTCTCTTTTTACATAACTATCTCCAGGCCTCAAACCAGCTTTCTAAATTTATCTCCCACTTTTCTTCATCCTGATGCAGCTCTAGACGCTGTGAGCTGGTGTCTTCCATCTTATGCTTCTCCAGCTATCTTTCTCAGCTGATTACGCTCTTTCCTCTAACAGCCAGAATCTTAAATTCTACCCAGCCTTCTAGAGCCAGGTCAGATACATTCCTAGTGCCACAGCATTTCATAATAACTTGGTCAGGGATAATCTCATCTGCCTGACAAATTACAACCTTTCATATCTTCCTGCTGCACCATCACCTTTTGCCTCCTAGCATGGATCTTTAGGGAACAATTTATTATAGTGTTAAGAGTGAGAACTCAAGAGCCATACAACTGGAGTTCAATTCTTGCCAATCTATTGGCTCACTGTGGATCTTGGGAATATATTTTAACCTCTCTTAAATCCAATTTCATCATTTATCAAATGAGATAATTATAGTACCTACTTTATAAAGTTGTAATAATCTAAGATTATAACATATAAAATGCATTGAAAGGTGTCTAATACCTAGTAAGTGCTCAATAAACATAAGCAACTACCAATACTTTAATTTTATTACTATTATCATCATTATTTGCAGTGGAAAGAGCTTCTACTAATAATTAAGTGACCCAGGAAGTTGCCTAATCTTTTCAAGTTTTTGTTTTCTTATCTGTACTAAAGCAAAGCTTCTGTACAGCAAAGGAAACAATCAATAAAGAGACAACCTGCAGAATGGGAGAAAATATTTGCAAACTATCCATCCAACAAGGGATTAATAACCAGAACATATAAGAAACTCAAACAACTCAATAGCAAAAAAACAAATAATCTGATTTACAAATGGACAAATGATCTAAATAGATGCTTCACAAAAGAATACATATAAATGGCCAACAGCTATATGAAAAAAAAATGCCCGACATCACTAATCATCAAGGAAATGCAAATCAAAGCCACAATTATATCACTTCACTCCAGTTAAAATGACTATTTTCAAGAGGACAAAAAATAATAAATACTGGCAAGGATGTGAACACTCACACACCATTGGGGGAAATGTAAATTAGCACAGCCACTGTAAAAAACAGTATGAAAGTTCCTCAAAAAACTAAAAATATATCCACCATATGATCCTGCATTCCCACTGCTAGGTATACATCCCAAAGAAAGAAAATTAGTGCATCAAAGATACTATATACATTCCCATGTTTATTACAGCACTACTCACAATAGCCAAGGTAAGGAAGGAACCTAAGTGTTTATCAGTGGATAAATGTATAAAAGAAAACATGTCATATATATATATAATGAATATATATGGTATATATATGGCATTTATATATACATACACATATATGGTATATATTATTAATATATTAATAAATATATTACATATATTTATATATATAAATAACTTTTTGTACATTTCAAAATACCTACCAGATTTGGAATGTTCCCAATACCACTAAATAACATTTGAGGTGATGGATATTCAAATTACCCCAGTTTGATCATTACACATTATATGCATGTATCAAAATATCACATGTACCCCGTAAATATGTACAATTATATAACAGTAAAATCTTCAAACATTTTTGAAGTCAATACCAAAAAACCATATTTACTTTATTATTCATTATCTACTGCTGCATAAGAAATAATCTCCAAACTTACTTCTTTGAAAAACATTTATTGTCTTCTAAGTCCTATGGGTAAGGCATACAAGGTCCTCTGGTTCAGAATTTCTCACAAGGCTGCAATCAAGATGTCCACAGAGCTGCAAGCATTTCAAGGATCAACTAGGGAAGGATCTGCGTCTCAATTCATGCTTTTGTTGTAGGCAGAATTTAGTTTTGCACAAGCCGTTCGTCTTGGGGCTTCCATGACTTGCTGGCTGTTGGCCACAGGAGATGCTCAGTTTCTTGACATGTGGGTCTCTTTCAAAGGCAGTTTACCACATTGCAGCTTGCTTCATCAAAGCAAACAAATAAGAGGGCAAAAGAGAGACAGTGTAAGCAAGAGAAAAGTCATAGTTTTCTGGAACCCAATCTCAGAAATGATGTAATATCACTATTGTCCTACTCTGTTCATTGGTAGAGTCACTGGGTCAAGCCTACATTCAAAGGAGGGAGATTATACAAGGGGGCGGGTGCTATGTGATGGAGATCATTGGGTCATCTTAGAAGGTCTCCTACCACACCTCATAAAGTTATCATAGAAATTAAATGGTCTTAATGTATCTGTAATTCATTGTAGACTACCTAGGACACAGCAGATATGCAACAAATATGAATGTATTCTTCCCTCTCTAGTAGAATAAAACTCCTAGGAGACAAAGACATAATCAGTGAGCCCTGCAGTACCTAAGCCAACTTTGCTCTCAACAACCAGTAGAGGCATAAATGATACTGACACTACTGTTCACAATCTCGCTAACATTATCTTTATTTTCAGAAGGTACAACCTATTACCTTTCCGCAGTGACTCATTTACAGTACAAGAGCATGGTAGGCAGAATAATATCCCCCAAAGAGGTCCATAGTCCAATCTATAGAACTTGTGAATAAATTACATAGGAAAAGGAACTTTACACATGTAATCAAGTTAAGATTCCTGAAATGGGAAGACTGGCATGGTTTATCCAGGTGGGTTCAATTTTATCACAAGAATCTTTTAAAAGCAGAGAACCATTCCTGGCTGTGGTCAGAGAAACACCTGTGATTATGCCAGAATGATTAGAGAGATGCAGCATTGCAGGCTTCGAAGGTAGAAGAAGGGGGCCAAGAGCCAATGAATGCGGACAGCCTCCAAAATGAGAAAAGGCAAGAAAACAGATTCTAGCCTGCACACTCCAGTAAAGAGTGCTACCCTGCTGTCAACTTGATCTTAGGTTGGTGAGATCATTGTTGGACTTTTGATCTATAGAACAAGAATATAATACATTTACATTGTTTAAAGCAACTAAGTTTGTGGCAATTTGGTATAATGGCAACAGAAAAATAATAGAAAGAGAAAATATGTAAGTGTGTCCTGAGAGATATCACACACAGGTACTCTCTAAATGTTGAAGGAATATATATGATCATTCTATAATGTACAATATTAAAAATCATTGAGTAAAAAAACTTTTAGTTCAAAACACCATTACAAAGCATGCGACTATTTTTTCTAAATCATTGTATTTCAAGACCATTAACTATCATCAAAAGCAATGAGAATAAAAACTACTACGTTTTTATTTAACAAACACTTGAACATTTACTATGTGGCAGATACTATTATAAAGTCTAAAGTCATAGATACGTTATAAATATTATTCATTTAGTTCTATTAACTTACAAGACAGTCACTATTATCATTCTTCTTCTACAGACAAAGAACAAACACAATTTTGATGAGCTTTCCCAAGCAAACTTCCCCAAGCTTGTAAGTGGCAGAGCTAGAAATCAAACTCAGGCACTCCGGCTCCACAGTACCTGAATTGTGCTTCTTCTAAAATCATAACTGAATTGTATATAATAATCATAATGAAATCATATATATTCCCAATACATTGTTTCATATATTTATTTAGACTTAAGCAGACTAAAAAATTGTATATATTCTGGATTATTCTTCCCAAATTGTTTGTTGACCAATTACTAAGTACCTCCTACGCCACAGGCATAGAAGAAAAAGAGAAATGAATAAAACAATGAGTCTCCCCTTAGAGAGTTCACAGATTAGTGACAAGAGACAGATGACAAAATAATACAATAATTTATATTTTCATGAAATAATATAAATTCATTAAAGCAAAACCATCTCTTATGGCCCTATTCTCCATGACTTCCTCATTTAGAAGGGAAGGTAAGTATTGAAATAAACAGCTGTGTGATACCTTTTAAGTTATGGTAGAAGCATGTAGCTGGTACCAAGAGGCACAGAAAAAAGAAAAATATTTGTAGGAACTGGCAGAGGGGACACTGAATGGTATGAAGGAGGAGATACAGAGTTTTGTAGTTTAGAGATCATTTCAGCAAGCAAGGATAGTAAGCCTGAAGGGTAGTGAGGCTGGAAGCCACCAATTTGTTAAGAGATGGCTTAAAGTGCAAGGATAATGAGGGTTTGAATTAAGGGAATTGCAGGAAAGATTATTAAAAGAGAGAGTGAATTTGGAGTGGTATTAGCAGGCATTATGGATAGGGACCCAGGATATGACATTGTCCATACTCCCCAGAATCCTCTCCACACACATAAGTCTCCCTCAAAGAATAGTAATAGCAAATGAGAGCAGTGATAAGTTACAATTGATGACTGTGTAAATATCCAGCAGAGGAATGGCAAGAGAGAGTCTCTGGAATGTGTGAAAAGTCCTGGTGCCCTTCTAGAGAGTTTGAACATTAGCCTGCAGATACTAGGATCTGGACAAAGTAGTTAGAATACATGATCAGATAACAGTGAAGGTACCATGGTTAGAAAGATAGATGCTAGCCTAGAGTGAGGAGAAATCAGCGTCTGATAAAGGAGATAGTAATGTAGTGTATTAAAGTTAAAATTTTAGGCCGGGCACGGTGGCTCAAGCCTGTAATCCCAGCACTTTGGGAGGCCGAGACGGGCGGATCACGAGGTCAGGAGATCGAGACCATCCTGGCTAACACAGTGAAACCCCGTCTCTACTAAAAATACAAAAACTTAGCCGGGCGAGGTGGCAGGCGCCTGTAGTCCCAGCTACTTGGGAGGCTGAGGCAGGAGAATGGCGTAAACCCGGGAGGCGGAGCTTGCAGTGAGCTGAGATCCGGCCACTGCACTCCAGCCTGGGTGACAGAGCGAGACTCCGTCTCAAAAATAAAAAATTAAAGTTAAAATTTTAATTTTCAGTTTTTATTTTCAGGAAAGACTGATATCTAAAGGCAACAATTCTTTTTATAATAAATACTGTTTTTAAAAGTTGAATTGTCATAAATAATTACAGCTAGCTATTGCTTGCACTGCATAAAGATGTTTCAGTCAATGATGGCCCACATATATAACAGTGGTCCCTAAGATTATAATACTGTATTTTTACTGCAATTTTTCTATGTTTAGACATGGTTAGATACACAAATACTTGCCATTGTGTTACAACTGCCTGTAGTACTCAGTACAGTAATACGCTGTGCAGGTTTGTAGGCTTGGAGCAAAAGGTTATCCCACATAGCCTAGGTGTGTAGTAGGCTACACCATCTACGTTTGTGTAAGTACACTCTATGATGTTCACACAACAAAATAGCCTAATGACACACTTCTCAAAATGTATCCCTACTGTTATGAATGACTGTATGTAGAGGCAGTGCTCTAACTACCTTACATATAGTGTTTAATTCTCAAATATTATCTTTGGTTCAGTTTATTGTTAAGTCTCAGAGAGGTTAAGTAACTTGCTCAGGGTCATTCAGTAATGGGTAGGTGGAATTTGAATCCAAAATGTGATGCTAGAACCTGAATTCATAGCCACTGTATCATTAACACATGTTTGGTTAAATCCAGATATGGAGAAATTATTTTTATTATGTTGAGCTTCAGAGCATGCATAGACTCTGGAACCAGACTACCTAGGTTCAGATCTCCATTTCACCATTTAATGGCTGTGAGAAATTCGACTAGTTACTTCAGCTTTCAGTACCTGTTTCCTCATCTGTAAGTGGGAACAATAACAGTGTTTGCCTCCTACGGTAGTTCTGAGGATTAAATGAGTAAATTTAGTAAAAGGGCTCAGAAAAGTACCTTGAGCATATTACATAACCAATAACATTTACCTATTATCAATATTATTATTCTAATATAAAGTATTGAGAATAGTGGTATGAAACACCGGATATACTGCATGGCCCCAATTGAGATCTGAGATAGGCAGAATAATGGCTCCTAAATATATCCATTCCCCAATCCCTGTAGGCTGTGAATATGTTACACTATTACCGCAAAAGGGACTTTGCAGATGTAATTAAAGTTACGAACCTTGAGAGGGGGAGATTCTGTCTAATCAATGGATTCTTAAAAGGCTGTAACTGGAGAGATACAGCAATGGAAGAAGAGGAAAGGAAGATTTAGAAGGATGAAAGGGTCTCAATCCACTGTTGCTGGCTTTGGAGACGAAGAGAGCCATAACTAAGGAATGTGAGTGGCCTCTAGAAGCTGGAAACAGCTCTCAGCTGACAGCCAGCAAAGAAACAGGGAGAACAGCTACAACAGCAAGGGACTGAATTTGTCCAACAACATGAATAAGCAAAAAAAAATCAGATTCTTCCCTTAACTCTCTAGAAAGGAACACAGTCCTGTGGACACCTTGATTTTAGGCCATTGAGAACCATGTTGGACTTCTGATCTACAGAATCGTAAGGTAACAAACTGGTGGTGGTTCGAGTTTTTAACTTTGTTACAGAAATAGTATTAATAGTAAACTAATAAAAGATCCACACTTAACTTTTTCCTAAAAGACTCAAACATATTGATTTAGGAACTACATAATATTCTAGAATAAATTTAACTTCTTAAAGTCAGCATTTTAAAACTATATTAGGGACATAAATCAATACCTTATTTACATTTTTATTGTTAAATTCTTAGAATCTAAAAGTTGCTAAAAGGTTAAAGAGGATATAAAATGCTATTACAAAATATTTTCATCTTTTCTATGTAAAGGTAAAAAAATTCAATTTTAATTTTTTAACTTCTCATGGTTAATGAACAAATTAACTTTGATTTTTTTTTCCTAATATTTTTTAAGTCCACAGCCAAGTTCTAATAAAGGCACTTAACATGTCACTAGGAATATATAAATTCTAGGTTTAAAATAACTCATGTTTTGCATTTACAGAGGTAAGCATTTACTAAGAAGCAAAATATTCTGTCTTGGTTATTATTTACTTATTCACTGCCTCTGAATTTATATGAATTAGCTCTGAGAGAGTAAGAGCTGTGTCTGTTTTCTGTCTTCACATTTTTATCAACACTGCCTAGCAAAACTCCCGGGCCTCAGAAAGCTTTTGTTAAATACATGAATGAAAAATAAATATATCTTTAAAAAAGTGGAAACAAAGCTTCCCTGGAACCTCAGCTCACTAGCTCATGGGAAAACTAACAAGGTATACTGTATCTACAGGTTAAACATTAAAATCCAGAACTTCTTTTAAACATTTTCAACAGAATGTTAAGTGTTATATGTTTCCCCGCATTCTGAATGAGATTAAATGTTTCAAGTTTCTTGATATCTTTATTATTTTCATTCACTACTGTGTGATGTGCACATGACATACACAAGGCTCTATGAACCAGAATTTGCTTAATGAAAATGTCCTCTACGTCAAGTCTTTGTGTGAGCACTTTACCCTGTTCCTCTCAAAAATTAAGTGAAGCACAGCATACGTGTAGGCTACCTGAAAGAGGTGCAGCGTGGTTGGTTTTCTTCACAATTGCTAAACGAAAGGCCTACTCTTCTTCAGCAAGATTTTTACTCTCTAGAACAGCAGCATCCATAGAAATAGAATGGAAACCACGTAATTTAAAATTTTCCAAAACATTCTCATTTTGACATGTAATCAATATAAAATTAATGAAATATTTTTACATTCTTTTTCTTTTCAGACCATGCTTTAGAAATCTGGTGCATGTTCTACACTTAGAGAAGACCTCAGTTCAGACTAGCCACTTTTCAGGTGGCCAGTGACTACTATACTGGACAGTTGCAGCTCTAGAAAATCCACTCCCAAACCCCTAAGTGAACTACATACCCTATCAACTTATAGCTTCTACTCTGTCTCAATTTGTACCATTGTTTCACAATTTGGATAGCATTAGAGTTCATTAATAACTTTTATTTTAGCAAGTCTGCTCCATGGGTAGTTTCTGAAATAAAAATACAAGCCCCCCCCCCCAAAAAAAACCTAATAACTGTGGTTCTACAGTATACGCTCTTTCTCGATGGTCTAACAGAGCTTTCGTAGAAGTGCCTGCTCCTTGTAGGGACGGAGAGTCGAGACTGGAGGCAAGAACTAAGACGTTCTTAAACCCTGCTACGTGCTGGAATCCTAAAGTGCCTACCATCATTCAAACCTTAGAACTAACTCTCCAGAGACACAGCCATTCATACCGCAGAACCAGATGGCAGTGGCGATCCTCAACGCCAGCTACACGTCACTGCCTGGTGAGTACTCTTCCCTCAGACCCCATTCCCAGAAGCTCTGCCTCGACTCCCCAAGGGGTAAGCGACCTGGCTGCCCTAATTCCTAAGCGTTACCGGGGAGATCTGAGGGCCTCCGAGGGCGGGAAACCTGAGGCCAGGCGCGCGCTGCCCCGAAGGCGAGAGCGTGTCCGGTCCGCTCTACGGGGTCTCCGGGGAGCGCTTTGCAGGGCGGATGACTGACGGGCCAGCTACCTTCCTTCCTGAGCCTGCAGATCAACAAGCTATCCTCCCTGTGCACACAGGCCCCGAGGGCGGGCAGGTCTCCAAGCGCCGCGCAACTGCCCTAGGCCCGACGCAGCCACCTGCCAGAGGATTCCCTCCCCACCAGGCCATCCCTCAGCCAGTCCTCCGCCGACAGCGAACGAGGAACCCCAGAGGCACGGAGGCGTCTCGCCGACATCCGGCGACCCTTGCCAGGGGCCGTTCGCGGTGTCCGCAAGCAGAGAAAGCCCGGCCCTCATAAGCCCCGGCTTCCCTTAGGCCCCTTGACACTTGTAGCCTCCTCACTTGCGGCCCCTGACCCGGGGCTGACCGGTTCGTGACTCTCCTGCCAATCAGAGACAGAGTTCATCCGGCCAACCGACCAATCACCGCGCGCGGGTGTCCGCTTCGGCTTTTCGGCCCTTCGTCCCTTCGGTTCTTCGGCTTGTTGGCGTTCGCGGCTGTTTGGCCATCCCGGGCCTTCAGCAGCGCCGCTAAAGCGCAGTGCTCGTTGGTGTAACTTTTTCTTTTCTTTTTTTTTTTTTTTTTTTTTAGCCACTTCCGGCTCCTGCGTCGCTCCGGAAGCCTGCTAGTTCCGGAAGCCTTGGTAATCCAGATTCTGCTAGGAAAAGACAAGCTTTCCAGAGAATGTTTCAGAGAAAGTTACGTGGAGCGTGGGCGTTTCGCAGACTCCTAAGGTCAGTGTCTGCCCCAGAGAGCCGGAGTGCAAACCCGAGGTCTTGTTTTCAGCTGGGAGGTCGTGGAGTTTCACGACCTTGTAATTGTCGCCGTTTGCTTTTTTCCCCCTGTTTATTGGCTTCCTGTCTTCCTGGAAGAGGGAAATCAAAGCTTCTGAATGTCGGGAAAGGCAGTGAAGCAAACCTAAATTCCAAAAGATGTTTTTAGGATCGCGCCATTAAAAATAAACACACAGCTGCAGTTGAGCCCCTCTGCATTCCACGTAGTGACTTAAGAGACGAACTTTGAAATCTTTTTCTCTCACTTGGCGGTTGTGAGGATATTTACCTCTTATAAACGGCTTTATAAAGAATTGAGGATCCAAGCTTTACTTAATATCTGAAAGTTTATGTAAAGTGTTATATGTGGTACAAAAAATTTGAGTATACTTAGTTTTCTAACATTGTCGAAAGCGCACGTAAAAGCAGTTTGATTTTCTTATGGGGGAAGAGATAATGAAAAGTTTCTGATAAAATTGCTTGCGATAAATTAGTTATATTTCACATTGTCTTTTGATAAGTCTGAATGTGAGAAACGTTAACTTTTTTTTCTGGGTTCTTAAAAATCGTTGTTTATTTATTGAAGTACCATTTTCCACATTTCCCACATTTAGTGAAAGGGCTTTTAGCAAGATGAGCAAGACTTGAACGTTCAAGTCTAACACATTCTATTAAACTTCCATGATGCCCCTCGGAAATATTTTATCTTGAAGTTTCGGGCAATTAGATGATACTGGGGCGCTCTCAACACCACAGCTTGTAGTCTAAACAGCTTCCCCTAAAGTGTTACCTTTACTTAATCCTGAACAGAGTGAACTTGGGTTGACTCTTTTAACTTACCTGATCTCACCTGTATTATTAATTACTTGTTTCCAGAAAGATTACAGTTGAGTGATCTTGAGCCAGGAAGATATTTGAAAGAACTATTTACAGAATTAAAAAAACAAACAAACAAAAACCCTTCATATTTTTTCTTAAAAAAAAAAATACAAGTAACAGGACATGGAGTGAATACTAGACTATCAGACTAAAGAGTATTAGACTAAGTTGGATTCTAGTCCTCACTCTGATTGCCTTTGTACAGTTTTATCTCTTGGCCGTATTCTCCTTATTTTTAGAAATTAGTGTTAGTACTCAAGCTGGGGTTTTAAAACTGTTCCATAGGAGAACTTGTGTAGAAATTTTCTGGAGCCATGCAGGGAGAGACAAAGCAAGCCCACCCTCAGATTTGTTTTAACAAGAGCAGCTATTTATGTGTTCCGCTTGAATAACAAGGTTCTTGTTAAGAAGATTAAATTTGTATCTTAAACGAGATGATCTGCCTTTTCTTCTAGCAGTAAAATTCTGGTTTTTTTTTTTTTTTGAATATTCATTTGTACTCAATGTACCTTTATTTATTACAGTTTTTAAAAATAATATATTCACAGCTAATTTATTTCTAAAAGCTACAAATATGTCCCTACTCTGTTTCAATTTATTTTATAAATACAAATTTGAAATTGTTTTCTTTATGATCAAAATTAGAATTTATTATTCTGTCTTCCTCATATCCTTTTATTTTAGCCATAAAATTTTGCGTATATTTGATGCACATAATGATTCTTGCCGTAGGGAGGACAAATATTTTCCATTTTATATATTTGGTAGCTGAACGTTAAAGGTATTAGCAGGCTTGCTCATCATCACATCGATTAAAAGTTCTCAGTCCTAGCCCCATGTTTTTCTCACAACATCAAATAATTGTAAGTTTCTTTCCCTCTTGCACACCGTCCACATGCTCAGGTTCCTATAGCACAAGGAAAATGTGTGAATATGCACAATCTTTATTTCTGGCCAGAAGTTCTCTCTTGAATTATTTCATTTTTTTCCTCTTTTGATGATCTGAGTTGGACGGCCTAGAAGCAAATTGGATGTTCTCTATACCTGTTTTCTGTGAAGTGATAACAGTTTGTAAATGTTTCATGTTCCTTTTCCCTTCCTTTGGAATATACAAGAAACCTCAGGAGAAAAGCCCTAAATTGCTCCATTTGCCCTATGTCTATAATCCTATAATCTTTAAAACCCAGCCCTGTGGTTTCTTTACATGGAAGTGGAGGCAAGGAAGGGATGTCTAGTATCCTCTGCCCTTCTCCATGTGGGATATTAATCTTCCTAACATATTCCCATCTATACAACAAAAATACCTTGTTCTCTGTTGCTTCTTACTCAATTTAATATATTTTCTTTTTATCAGAGATCTCCCTTCTTACTGCCTGTCAATAAAATGAGATCAAATTCCATCCAAGTTATCTTTTCTTTCTTCTTACTAGTAAAACAAAAATCAAGAACTTCAATGTAATTTTATTTTGATGATTCCTAACCACTTTTCTTTTTTTTGAGACGGAGTCTGGCTCTGTTGCCCAGGCTGGAGTGCAGTGGCATGATCTCAGCTCACTGTAGCCTCCACCTCCCAAGTTCAAGCAATTCTTCTGCCTCAGCCTTCCGAGTAGCTGGGATTGCAGGCGCGTGCCACCATGCCCGGCTAATTTTTGTATTTTTAGTAGAGACAGGATTTCAACATGTTTGCCAGACTGGTCTTGAACTCCTGACCTCAGGCTCTCTGCCCACCTCGGCCGACTTGTCTTTTAGTGTTAAATGAGTGAATTGGCATTGCCTCTACCTTGCATGTATGTGTTCATAATAGTTAATGTTCACACCTTGGGTTTTTCACTAATCTATTCCCTTTGTTCAGATTTGACATGGTCCTTAGAATGGTCGTTTGACCACATGTATAGAGAGGCAGGGAGAGGGAATGTAGACAAGATACATCCCAAGCAGCAAGGAAAACTGTACCTCATTCCTTTAATTTCTTTCCCCATCTACAATCCTGACAACTTGACTGGCAGTCTGGTCTTTTGAATGTGATCTTGAAAGGGAAAAAGATTTCTTTTGAGTTCTGTGGGATTAAATTTGATCCAAGCTTAGCAAATATCCATTCCACTAAGTGTATTTTGTATGTGCTACAGTTTTTCTAATGTTTACCATAAATTTACTAATTACCAGCTTGACTTTAGAAGTGTTGTTAATCTTCTCAAGCCTTAATTTTTGTCTTCTTAAAATGGAGATGATGATAATGTACTTACTGTGTTGTAAGATTAAATGAAATAAAGAATGTAAAGAAAAGTTATAGTGCCTTGTACATGATATATATCACATGGTAGTTCCTCCTATTCCATTGCTAATGGCTGTTTATTCCTTTGGGGATATTTCCACATTCTCTTGTACCATAAAATGTGCAATTAAATGTTTGTTTCAGTTATTTTCAAGTCATTTAGAATTCTTAAGCAATTAGATTCTAAAGCCTGTTTTTTAAATTTATAGAGTATTTAAAGATCTAGCTGCTCATACATTTCATGTGTGTCTTGTTTGTTCATACTCGCACTAGTATTTTTCCCATAGTTTATGCCTATACTCTTAGTACTTGGCCTCTTTAAGGTAGCCCCATCTGTGTGACCTGTGTTACCATCCTAAACTTTTGGGTCCATCACCACGTTGTCAGTATAGGACACTGGTTTAGAGCTGGTTCTGCCTCCTCTGGTCATGGGATTTTACACAAGTCATCTAATCTCTTTGTGCCTTAATTTTCTTGTTTTAGAACAGAATTAATAATAGAACATCTTTGTTAGTATTATAAGGATTAAATGATTTAATATTTAAACTTGTACCTAGTAATTAGTTATAGTAGTCACTTGTTAGCATTCAGTAACTGCTAAGTGTTATGTGTTTTCTCTGGTTGTAAACAAGTTCATTGGGATTGTCTTCCTTAGTGGTTCACTGTTACTCTTTATGAATACTGTCTCTGTCTCCTGTGTCCTGCTCTGATTTCTCTATTCCTCATGTCCTATATTGCTCTTTTGCAATTAGAAATAGCTATTCTTTTATTTTTTTCCCTTTCCCTTCCAAGATTTCCTAAAACAGTTTATATAAGGATTCTAGATAGGTAGGTAAATTTACAGTTGCTTTTTTTTTTTTTTTTTTTAACCAGTGAAGAGTGTAGTGTAATAAAATGACTTGTCTAGAGTCACACAATGTGTTAGTGAACCTGGGCTAGAATACATACCTAATCAGAGGCAGTTTAACTCTGCTTTCCCTGATACTCGCTTCAGCATCTGTTCTTTATTTTCACAATAAGCATTCTCAGACTCAGAAGTATCAGGTTTCTGAAAGGAAAAAAAAATATGAGTGCCATGCTGTTATCTTAAAAATATACTTATAAAGCTAGGCCCAAGTATTGGAAATTCTTTTCTAAGGTTTTAAAAAAGTATTTTGTGCTAGTTTTAGATACTTGAATAACTATATTGTATATGAGATAAGTAAGGCACTCAGTTGATTGTATAAGACGCAGTATAGTCTTGAGTTGTGTTGAGTTTTCTCTTCTCCCCAAATGGGGAAAACAAAAGTATTTTCCCCTCTTCTGGGGCAGGTTACTTAACCATTGTCCATATTTTTGAGAAATATGTGCAACTTTGAAGTTTATCTTTCAGATACATTTTAGAAGTGTTTTGTCATGTACCCACTACCACTTCAAAAAGAAAAATCCTATTTGGATTTTGATGAGGCAGTGTTCGTTGAAGTTAAAAGTAATTTAGAGGTCTATTGGACATAACACAGTTTTAAAATTTCACATATCTTGGCTATACCCAAATGAGCACAACTGGGATTTACAACATCAGATGTCTATAAACTATTAAAACTTAGATTATGTATGATGAAAGAGAAGAACAAGAAAGTAGTGACAAGGCACTTAGCAAGTCTGTGGCAGAAGTGGGATTTGAACTTAGAGTTGTTAGGCCTGTTCACAGTGCCAGAGGTCACAGTGTTCTAATGGGCTTCAACCATAGCCTTTTTTCTTTTGCCCATATTTGAAATGTGTTCTGGGAATCGGTGTCCAGTTAAATCCCTCTTTGATGCATGTCCCATTT